GGCCACTGACCGTCACCGCAATCCAACCCTCCATGGGCTTGCCACCAAACAGCGTGAGCGAAGGAGAGAATTTCACTCGCGAGAACTTCTCCCCGAAGCTGGAGGCGCCCGACTGCAGGAAGGGGAAGTGGGAGGAAGGACTTGCTCAGCTCCTGGGGGCCCACCTTCTATGTCCCCCACGAGCACAGAGCAACAGTGTGGCAGGAGAGCTGCAGGGGGGCCCCTGACGCTCAGTCTCCTCTTCTGTGACGCACAAGCAGTGACATTTCTCTCAGGGGATCAAACTTGGTACTTCACTCTCTCTGTCCTGACCTCACGGTCTCTGCCTTTGCAGCAGAGGCCGTGGGATGCAGATGGCGCTGGGCTGTGGTGCCACTGCAACTTCACTGAGGAGCAGGTGGGGCGGCATGCATCCCGAGTCCCCTCAGCACCAGCCACTCTGGGCCTTGCAGTCTGTGCTCCCAACGGGTGTAATCACATACAAACCACACCTTGTCTGACACAGGGCACATGGCCCAGGCTGGACTCAAAGTTACGATCCTCCTGCCTCAGCCTTCCAACTGCTGAGATGACAAGCATGCACTACCATGACTAGCTCAATAAAACTATTTGTTTTTTCCTTTGGTTTTTCGAGACAGGGTTTCTCTGTGTAGCTTTGCACCTTCCCTGGATCTTGCCCTGTAGCCCAGGTTGGCCTCGAACTCAGAGATCCACCTGCCTCTGCCTCCCGAGTGCTGGGATTAAAGGTGTGCACCACTACAGTCGACTCTTTTTTTTTACATTAATGTTTTAAGACTTATAGCTGAGTGCACTATTTATAAAGTGGCCCACGCCTTTAATCCCAGCACTTGGGAGGCAGAGGCAGATGGATCTCTGAGTTCGAGGCCAGCCTGGGCTACAGAGCGAGATCCAGGATAGCCAGCGCTACAATTAAACCAAAAACAAAAAAACCAAAAACTGGAAAAGAAAAAAAAGATTTATTATCTCTTGTGTGTTTGAGTGTTTTCGCTGGACACATATGTACACACCACATAGGTAAGGTATCCATGAGGTCAGAAGAGGGTTGGACCCCTTGGAGCTGCAGTTACACATGGCTGTTAGCCCCGCGGGTGCTGGGGGTGTAACCCAGGCCCTCTGCAGGGGAGCCAATGCTCAAACCACTGAGCAACCTCTCCAGCCCCCACATTAAATGTGGGAGACAGAGTGTCACTGTTAGCCCTGGTTGGCCTGGGCCTGGATATGTACACTAGGCTGGCCTCAATCTCGGAGAGAGCTATTTGCTTCCTGAGGCTGGGATTGGTCTGGGCCACCAGGTCCAGTCTTTGTTTTTTCGAGGCAGGGTTTCTCTGTGTAGCCCTGCCTGTCCTAGATCTCACTCTGCAGCCCAGGCTGGCCTTGAACTCACAGAGATCCGCCTGCCTCTGCCTCCCGAGTGCTGGGATTAAAGGTGTGCGCCACCGCCGCCCGGCATCTGCCTTTTTTTTAAGAGTTGTATTGGGTGGGTGTTGTGGAATATTACCTTAACGATGTAAAGATGTGTTGCTGTTTCACCTTGCCTGCCTAAGGCTCCTGATTTGACTAATAAAAAGCTGAACGGCCAACAGCCAGGCAGAGGAGGGATAGGTGGGGCTGGCGGGCAGAGAGACTAAGTAGGAGGAGGAATCTAGGCAAGAAGAAGGAGACACCCAGGGCCAGGCAGCCGCCAGCCAGCCATGCAGAGCAGGACATACAGAATGAAAGAAAGGCAAAAAGCCCCGAGGCAAAGTGTAGATGAAGAGAAGCAGGTTAAACTAAGTCATAAGAGCTGGTGGGACAAGCCCAAGCTAAGGCCGAGCATTAGTGACTAATAATGGTCCCTTGTCATGATTTGGGGGCTGGTTGGTGGCCCAGGAAAGCCTGCTCCAGGTGGGAGTGGCCTCAGCAGGCAAGTGGAAGCTGCTGGGCTCCAAGGACCTGTACAATCATGGAACCGAGGCCTGGCCATGTCCCCTTCCTCACAGGCTGCCTGCTCCCCTCCATGATTGAGGAAATGGACTCTCAGATGCCCCGAGTCTAACTCAGGGTACTCACTCCTCACTGGCTGACCTCTAGGATGCCACTAGCTGCAGCTGTCTGTTAAACAGGGTCACTGTACAGGACCATCAGCAAAAGGGGAGGCCCGGGGACAACAGCCGTAGTTAGGCATGTTTATGGGGACAGGTGCTCAGGGACCGCAGTCACTGACAGGTAACTGCAAACAGGCGCACCGTGAGCTGGGCCTGGAGCATGACAGAATGCTGAGGGCAGTGAGGAAGAGCGGGCTAGCCGCTCACAGCTCCACCCCAGCAGCCCCTCAGCACCGGGGGCACTCACCTTCTCCACGTGCAGAGCCAGCTTTACACCGTTGTGCAGCCAAGACAGAGCCACGATGGGGTCCCCCTCCACCTGGCTGCCCACGGAGCTCCCCCAGCT